CTACCTGTGATGTCTTTAGCCGGCAACCCTTTGGCTTGGATAAGAAAGGTTCCTACCTGTGATGTCTTTAGCCGGCAACCCTTTGGCTTGGATAATCTTCAAGGTAAGAAGAGAAGAGTAGATGTCATACTCCAAACTGAACTGAATCTGTCCAGCAGGTTCATCTGGCTCATACATCTCTCGGGCCAAGTCTGCAGCCGCCTCTTGTTGCTTTGATAGATAAGACACATTCAGGTTTAATCTTTTAATCTTACGAATTTCAACAAGATATTTTGGTTTACTGCGATACTTCATTTTCAATGTAATTCCTGCCAGTGTGAGGAGGTAATTAAGTGCGTCGATATAACGTACCGTTCCACCCACTTGTGGTTTGTTTTCCAGTGCGAGGAGGTAATTAAGTGCGTCGATATAACGTACCGTTCCACCCACTTGTGGTTTGTTTTCCCTATTAACTTCGCAAGAGAAAAGTACACGTAAAGTCAACTCGACGAACTTTGAACTTTCAATATCTTTCAAAATTCGGATAATTTTCGTGTATTTAGCAAATAAAAACTAACGCTTATCACCATATAAACCTACCCCTTACAGCCATACAAACCCAGTCCTTATCACAATATAAGCCCAGCTCTCAGCACGATATAAACCCAACTCATTACACCATATAAATCCAACCCTTACCACCATATAACCTAACACTTAGTACGATATAAAGACAATCTTGAACACTATATACATCCATTTACACCTGAAGAAGGAAAGTTTACTTCCAGAGAGATCGGTGGTCGTGTTGGTTGTTTTTTCTGATACCACGAAGGATACTTTTGACACGATTAAGGGCATTACTGTTATGGATTACCAGTTTTATCATATATAGTATCATATAAAGCCAGTTGTTCAAAATCCAAATGCAACATTCGGTACAATACGGAATAAAAATGCAGAAACATAAAATATAAAATATGACGATTTTAGCAAAACGAAAAATGAAGCCAAAAATCATGATTTTCTTCCTTTTTTTACCCAAAAAGTGCTTAAAAATACCTTAAGAAATAAAATCCTTTAAATATACCTACTTCAGCAGAAGGCAAGAGGGAATGAAGAAACGATATGGCTCCAGTATTGTTGGTGCTCGTCCCTTCCTTGCCAGATATGTCTGATAGCCTGAAAGAGAGAGTGAGTAACAAAGTTAGGGATTAAAACCACACGTTCCTTTCTAGCCAGATATGTCTGATAGCCTGAAAGAGAGAGTGAGTAACAAAGTTAGGGATTAAAACCACACGTTCCTTTCTAGCCAGATATGTCTGA